AAGTAAAAACCGCAATATTGTAAAATATTTTGTATATTAATATATCTGTTTTAATATTTTAAAATACAATTTATTCCTTTGATGTCAAAGCTGAATTTTCAGTGTCACATGATCCTTCAGAAATCATTCTAATAATCATATTCTAATATTTGATGCTCAATAAACATTTCTTATTATTATCAACATTTAAAACAGACGGATTCTTTAATGAATAGAAAGTTTCAAAGAACAAGCATTTATTTGAAATGGGAAAACTTTCGTAGCATCATAAACATCTTTCTTTATCAATTAAAGGGATAGTTCACCCAAAAATTGTTGCCATTTTGGAGAGTATCACATACGTAAACAACGTATAGGCCTACAACACATGTACGCGGATACGTTGCTTATGCATTGATCTGAACGTAAACAACGTATTCGTGTACATGCGGTGCATACGTTGTTTACATATGTGATACTCTCCAAAATGGCGCTATAGGGTGAAGCAGAGGAGACGAATTGTTGAAAAGTCATTATTATTGTTTTCTTTGCGCACAGTGTTCTCGTAGCTTCGTAAAATTACGGTTGAACCCCTGATGTCACATGGATTATTTTAACAGTGTCCTTGCTACGTTTCTGAGCCTTGATTGTGTAAGGATCCTTGCTGTCTATGGGAGGGTCAGAAATATCTTGGATTTCATCCAAAATATCTTAATTTGTGTTCTGAAGATGAACGAAGGTCTTACAGGTTTGGAACGACATGAGGGTGAGTAATTAATGACAGAATTTTCATTTTTGGGTGAACTATCCCTTTAAATGCGTCCTTGCTGAATAAAAGTATTAAGTAGATATGCATCTATCATATTTGCCAGTCTGGTTTATTAACTTCAGAGACGCTTGTATTGGCAACCAGAGATAAATCTTACTTCAGAATACGTATGGCGTGGCTACAGCCGTCTCCTTCGACCTGAACCCCTTGGTGAGGAATCTCCATATTGGACAACTGCGAACACAATAACAGTAAACACAAAATGTGACATTTTCAACTAATAGCTTCAGATAATAAAGCACTGCTTTCACCATCTAATGGATATGAAGTACCTCACAGCGTAATCCGATGAGGGGCATGTTGGTGTCACACATGGCTACCAAGTGGGCCAGCTCCTTATTGAAGGCACACATCTCTCCTGACCTCTTGGGTTTCTTCGGTTCAATGGCACTTTGCTCTCCTGACAACTATGGAGTGACCAAAACAAGACTTCATTACATACAATAAAAAAGCTTAAAGCCACAAAAGAAAATATGTTTTCATCAGAAAATTTAGTTATGACATTTCAATTAAAAATTGTAATTGAGAAAAAATTAAAAATGAATCGTATGTATGGATGAATCGTTCACAATAATATCAATAACAGGCAAATACGACAAAGTGGTAACAAATGTTAAACGTTCAGTATATTCCGTTGAGTATCCCACCTTTCTCTTGGACCCAGGACGAGCCATTCGTCCAGATGAAATGTCCTGCACAAGCTCCTTCAGGTTGGACTTAAACTGCTGCAGCAGCTGAGCAGAAGGCAGCCCATCCTCACTCTCAATCGGACTCACAGACAGGAAGTAGTACTTATACTGGAGCTCTGTCAGATTGTTGGACACATCAAACATCTCGACCACCTGAGAAAGACGAGAGTTAATTAAATGTTTAATGTGTACACAAAAGCCTTTACCTGTGAGATAAATACATTAAAGTATTTACAATATAGTATTGTGGGAGGCGAGTGAGTTTGATGAAGAGGCGATGTTTTGACAGGTTGCCCACAGGATGCGTGGTTAAGTTAGATAGGTGGAGAGTGTCTGTGCACAGTGTGGGAAGATGTTTCACAGACTGTCGACATCTCTGCTCACCCAACCAGAATCTGTTTAAAACATAATATATTATCATCACTATCACAACATGAAACGCACCAAGAACGGGTAGCTTGACTGCTTACTTTAGCTGCTGTATCCATGTGACGATGCGCTTCATATCATCATTAATATTCTTCTCAATGTCGTCTAACATTGACTGATCTGGAAACAGACAAGCAAGGCAAGTTAAGTAGTTGATTTGTGCAAATAATCTGATGGGCATCCAATGGATATTTGACTTACCAACTCCATAGAGCATTGGCTGAAACATTCCTGAATGCAAATCGACAAATATGTGGAGGCACTCCGATCGGCCGCAGGGCTCCAGGATTGGTATGACTAGTGTGGGCAGTGCAGTCTCTATGAAGGCTGAAAAATAAACACACAAAATCAATCTCTTAATGCATATGAAATAAATAATTGATTTTGACTTTTGATGTTTTCTAGTTGAAGAATGGTTAAAAAAATAAAGATAAAGAATATTAAAAAAAGAAAATATAATAAATATATGTACACAATATTATTTTTACAGTATCAATGGCATTTTTAAATTTGCTTCCCTACACAATATAACGCATCCTCTCGTAATTTATTGCTTAATTACTGTAAATCAATTTAGTAACCAAGAACAGCAAATGCAAACCATTATATTCCCTCTATAAAAACACACACACACAGCAAGCAGCACAAGAATGGTCAAGATCATTGTGGTGTAAAATACTCACAGTTATCACTAGGGTTGCTACTTTTTAGGATGGCTTTGAGTTCTTGCAGTTTCTGATGTGAGCGGGCATGTACACTATCGATCAAAAGCTTTTCAACTGAGAGATGATCAATCTGAAAGAACAGCCCACAAACAGACATGATAAGCTTTCATCCTCAGTTATTATACACTACCATTCAAGATATTTTAATGTTGTTGAAAGAAGCTTTACTTATTGAGAAGCCATTACTCCAGTCTTCCGTGCTGATTTTGTGCTCAAGAAACTATTATCAATGTTGATACAGTTGTACTGCTTAAAAGTTTGGTAGAAACTGAGATACATTTTTAATAAATAAGAATAAAAAGCTAAAAAGAACAGCATTTATTTAAAAAATAAATTTTCTATAACATTAGAAATGTCTTTACTGTAACTTTTGATTCAATTCATGCATCCTTGTTGAATAATAGTATTGATTTCCCACAGACCCCAAACTTTTAAATGGTTGTGTATATTATCATCAAAGAAAAGCCCATACAATGATCATCGTTATGGAACTATCAATGTTATTATCAAAAAGGAGATTATATTAACTAATGATACTCACCCTCATGGCTCTTTCCATTAATCTGGAATCACAGGCAGGGAGTGGAGGCTCGTGGGAGATCTGTAATGGCTTGGATCCATCAGTCTCATCAATTCTGATGGTGACCTTGTGCACAGGTGCAGTGCCAGTCTTTCTACCCAGGACCTGTTGACTGCAAGGCAAGAATCATGAGATGCAAAACCAAAAGAGAAAAATTTAATTAAATCTCTGTAGCAAATTGGCAAATTTTGAAACCTACTTCCAGACAGACAACGTGAGGCACTTGGCAGGGACGTAGCGCTCGACCTGCACTAGATCACCCCACCGCTCTCTGATCAACATCAGAGTCTGGGAGTGCAACACCTCCAGCTGTAGTGATAGGCAAAACGAGTCTGATACCAATCATTAAGGAAACTGTTTTGATTTAACACTTTTTGTCACTACATCTTTTTGGAAAACAAAATTTCCACTTCATAGTTTTGTTGACTTGACTATTATTATAAAAGTATGGAAAACAGTGATAAAAAGGTAGTAGTTGTATCCAAACTAACTAGTAGTGCATTGCAAAATATATGGGCTGGTAAAACAAAAGCTATGCATTTAACCCCAAGAAGGGGCTGTTAATTGAGCAACCTATAAAATGTTCTACTAAAACAAAGAAACCAAACTTAGTCTTGATCTGAAAGGATACGGAGGCAGTTGTACATGTCCTGAAGAGGCTTGTCATCTCCAAACAGTCGGGACTGCACCAACTCGTGGATATAATTCACCTGCATGCTGTGGACCAATGCCCGTCCATCTAAATAAATGATATATAAATATTTATTATAGTAATTTAAAACATCTATTTATGAATAACTATTAATATTGTTTTATACATATAAATTAAAAACATACACTCCCATTCAAAAGTTTAGTTCATTTTTTTTTTTTTTAAGAAATAATATTATTTAGAAAGGGTGCATTAAACTGATCAAAAGTGACGGTAAAGACTTCTGCATTGTTACAAAAGATTTGTTTCAAATAAATGCTGTTCTTTTTTTCTATTCATCAAAGCATCCAGAAAAAAAAATTATCACAGTTTCCACAACAATATTAAGCAGCACAACTTTTGATAATAAGAAATTTCTAAGCACCAAATTAGCATATTAGAATGATTTCTGAAGGATCATGTGACCCTGATGACTGGAGTATTTGGCTGCTAAAATTTGTTATTTTTTTCCAACAAACAAATTACATTTTAAAATATATTAAAATACAAATCAGATATTTCAAATTGTAATAATATTTCATAATATTACAGTTTTTGCTGTAATTTTTATCAAATAAACAGTCTTGGTGAGTATGAAAGAGTCTTTTTAAAAACATTTTTAAAAATCTTATCGTCCCCAAACTTTTGAACAGTAGAGTAAATAAAATATGTAAAAAAATATATATTTATTTTTTTATAGTAGTAGTATATATTTATTTAATGCCACGTCAGCATCTTAGGCTATTTTCATGGCAAAAACAATTTAAAAAATACAAGTATAACAAATACAATAAAAACCAGCAAACAAACAAACACAAGTTATATTACACAAGATTTTTTACATTAACATATGATAAAAATTCTAAAACTTTTTCTTTATTTTTCATATATATTTAAATCAAATGTATGGAAAAGAAGGGTACATGCACAGGGGTTCCATCATATCTTATTTCTTATGTCTTATTATTACACATCTTACTAGGGCTGTGCGATTTGGGTGAAAATATCAAATTGCGATTTTTTTTTTGACAGATATTGCGATTGCGATTTGATTTGCGATTTTAAATTTGCAAAGTCAAGCTTCAGCTCAATATTGTCAATAATATGCAGCACAGTATGGGAAACTTTACTCGCCCATTGGCTTCACACAAGTAAGATCATTCATAATCAGAACAAAAAAACACACAAAACAAAAAAATAGAATAAAATGTTGGGAAACATATAACATACTTATTACAGGGCAGAATACGTCTTTGCCAGTAGATGTGTGGAGCTTGGAACTTACCCACAGTTAAGTTGGCCAGCTGCGGTGGCAAGTCAGTGGTGACTAGTCTGTGTCTCAGGATTTGATTGAGCTGATTTAGCGTTGTCTGCTTTTCTGCTTTGGTTATAGGGTCAGGAGGAATAATTTTGTCCTGTAAAAAAAAAAAAAAAAACACCATTGCTGTCCATTTCACATTTATAATATCCACTTTAGGCTCTTGAACACTGTGTTTGACTACTCACTCGGATACAGGTGGGCAGACGCGGATAAGACCCTGTGGTCAATACATCAATGGCGAAAGGGATGGCAAAACTAGGCAAACGTGCATGTACCAAGGCGTCCCTGGCCAGTGATGCCAGTCGATCGGCCGTGTCAACAAATAAATATGCTTGCTGATCCAGAAATGATGAGATCATCTGCAATCAGAACTAAGAATGAGTACTACCTCAACAAGAATGAAAATAGCTCAGATTGGAAGTGCGAAATAACTCACGTACCGCACATTTCTCCACCTTCCCAGCATTACTTGCCCATTTCACAAGAGCAAGCAGACGTACGAAGAGCTGCCGTGTCCGACTGGCAAACTGAACAATTTCAATTTTCCTGTAAGAGAGGACATAATCAGTTACATTCATATGCAAGCATAATCTATCTCAGGTTTTCTGTCTTTTAGAAGCCAAGGACCCTCAAATCCAGTGAGGGACCCCCGACCTAAAATCTGAAAAGTCATCTATACAGTTTTGTGAATATAGACCTAATTTGTATTGTAAAAAATGTATGTTATAAATATGTCTAAAATATTATTTGGAAAATAAATAATCACATTAGTGCAATTTTTTTATATATTTATTCACACATTCATTCATTTACTCATTAATTTATCTAGGTAAATAAATGAGTAAACATTTCTTTTTAAACTTTTCCATGAACCCCTAGCACTGCCTTGCAGCCCCCACTTGAAAACCTCTGGTGTAACCAATATTACATTCATGTTTTTGAGAATCTAAGTGGAAACTCCATGGTAGTTTCTTACCTTTCCATGTCTGTTTTTCGAGGAAGTCTGTGAAAATCATAAAGATAAGGTTAAATAACATCAAATGACAGCACAAAACATTTTACATCTAGACAACTTGGAAGACATGACATAATACAGATCCATAAAAGCAACAGAACAAGAAAATGTGCACATCTCTATTTATGCTCTTATTGCAATAACAGACCTGTGTCACCCACTATATCCACCATAAATTCACCTAGGCTGCTATAAGCAGACCATTCAATTAAACTAGCTTCATGTTAAAATATTACTTAGCCCTGACAAATTTTACATGGTTAACCAAATAATCATAGCCAGGTAAGAAGTCATACAAGGGTCAGGAAGAGTTGCAGCAACATCCCCACATAATTTATACCCCCATATAATCTCTACAAACTTAAAAATCAAGATTTATAAATGAGCTGACATGATCTGCATAGTAAAACATTTGTCAAGGAAACATATGGGCCAGTGCTAAACTAAATCTAACTTGATTTAAACATGCCTGACCAATGAGCAGAACAGGTCTGATCTCTCATGAACTCACAGCTCAGCCAGGAGAGTGATCTCATGGTAGGTTCGCTGCAGCAGGAACTCGATCAGGAGGCTCAGCCGGACTCCTTGAGTGGCCGGAGCTCCCGGAGGAGGCTGCGGGGCTGAGCTCGGACCCCCGGCGGGGACCAGCTGCCCGTCCGAACCGATTTGAACTGGAGCCATTTTAAATACAACGGCAGCGATGTACGGCCACGGATCCGACACTTTCCACTCGCGTTTACCGCAAACTAGTTTGAGAGAATATTATCACACGTTCGTCCTAATGTTTATAAGCGGCGGAAACAATTTCAACCCATGAAGAAAAGAAGAAATGAGTCTGTAACGTGTTGGATGTGGAGAGATGGAGCCCCGCCATCACCCACTGGAGCTGAAGCAGGAAACAAAACTCTTCTTTCCCTAAATGGCGCTGGATAAATTATTTAAAATAAAAGTCTGAAAGCCAAAAACGTGATTTTAAAAGGATTACATTAGTTTTATTTACGTTTTATTTCTTTCACAGTACATAAAAACGGAAGACTAACTTAATTTTTTTTAAATACATCTTGTCTGTATGTGGAGTCAAATAACATTTTAAGCGACAGTAGCTGCTGGAAAAGGAAAGCCTAAGAGACCTTTATTTTGCCAAGCTAAACGGCCGGATAGTATGGAGAACGAAACCTGCAAAAACAATAAATAAATACACAAATAAATAAATAAATATGCAAATAAATAAATAAATGTCTGTATAAATACACAAATTCTTGTTTAAATACATATATAAATAATTAAACATGTGATTAAAGTAGGCAAATAAATTAAATAAATTGGTGGACAAATGGAAAATGTTTAATTAAATGCTAAACTCATCCTATTTATTTTCCTTTGTTAAACAAGAATACGTGTATTTATGCACACATTTATTTATTTATTTGTGTATTTATTGTTTTTGCAGGTTTCGTCCTCCATAGGACAGAATGTCCAGTTTGGAATTTGTTTTAATACATCAAGCATGACAAAGTAATACTAGTTTTAAAAAACTGGTTCATTTTATGAAATGTATGCTAATAATATTTCACAAACAAATCAAACAACGACAGTTCTATTCACTTTTTTTTTCTCATTATGAACAGGACTTCTGAAAACGAAATATCATATAGAGAACAAAAAAATATGGATGAAATACTTTGCCACAATAATAATGTTATGTACCAAAACGACATTTATTCAAATGTTTTAAATGTTATGTTTGGGTTATTTTTGCATGCAATTTTATTTATAGATCTAATCAGTACTGGTTGGTTACTGTAGTCAAAAGTGAAACAAAGTGATAAATATTGGTGTAATTCAATAATAAATAAATAATTAATTATTTATAATAAATATATAATATGAGTCTAATTATTTATTTAAATAATTATAACATAAAAACTAATATAATCAGCCTGTAATATAATTATAATATAATTAATAATATAATATCCCTAATATGGTTGGCCTTTGCCCAGTATTTTCATTGCTTTCCAACCATCCAATCACCTGCTGGGAAGTTTACAGTAGATCAAGTGAACTGCATAAATTATTTTGAACCTAACGACCTAAGTTTCCATATTAATACTCAAAACAAATATTTCAAATGGTTAAAACGTCGAGTTAAAATAATAGACAACATAACTACACACTATAAAATCAAACAGGTAATACGCAAGGTAAAATTAAAAACCTGTGCATATGCCAGGTTTCGGTGTAGGGGAGGAGTTTATATAAACAGCTCAGCTCAGCTCAGTTAGAGACCGATGGGAGAGACGCACTAAACTCTACATGGAGAATCACTTTAATGATCAAAGCACGGAATGTTCCGCCAGTTCAGACAGCAACGACTGCCAGAGGTATGAACCTGACTTTATATTACTATGATGAAGTGATGTTACTTATAAAATACAAATCGCTATATTATGGAAAGTGGAACGGTCGCCACGAGATGGTCCAAAACACCTGTGCGTCAGGTGATGCTTGCGTCTGTGTCAATATGAACACTTAAACAAATAAAAGACATTTCAGAAAATGTAATGTAAAAAAATAATAATAATGAACTCGTTTTATTTTAGCTTCATATTGTTATGGTATTTCCATTAAAGTTTCTGTTATTATTTTTTAACAGTATTCCCACAAGTCTTTAAAACAAGTCTTTAAATGTGTTTCTAGGGTAGACCAATATGGATTTGAGAGAGCGGAAGATTTCAACTATGAATCCTATGAGGACTTTATGTCCAAGCATTTAGCTGTTGTCACTAGAAGGTCAAAGAAGTGGTCGAAACTTTTGCAGGGCACTGTAAATGTTGAGAAAAATATAAAAGGTAGGCAATTGAATTTAGTTAATTTATTTTATTATTTTATTTTATTGAATCGACACATAAAGGATAAATAATTGTTTTCACTTTTTAAAGCTGTCATTTGGGTTTGCAGTGAAGCGATATGTGAGGAAGGGGGTTCCATGTGAACATCGCACTCAGATCTGGATGGCAGCTAGTGGAGCCCAGGACCAGTTGGACAGAAATCCTGGCTACTATCATTCTCTATTAAAGGCTGAGCATGACCCTAAAATAGAAGAGGTTATACGTGCTGGTAAGTTATTTCTCCAGTCATGAAACCATGTTTTATTTTAAAGCATAGTTTTAAATCAGATTGGATGGGACATATGGGAAACCAAATATTTCTGAGATTTTTTTTTTCCAGATATGCACAGAACCTTTCCTGACAACATTCAGTTCCGTGCCTCCTCCCAGCCATGTTTACAAAAAGCCCTGTTTAATGTACTTCTGGCTTATGGACACCACAATAAGGATGTTGGTTACTGTCAGGTACTACTGTCATGTACACATGCCCTTTTACACACATGGCCACTATAACTAAAGTGTCGCTTGAATCCAGGATGTATTGAAGTTCCTACTGTAGATGAGAATCTAAAACTATTGTTTTGTATATACTAGAGAATAGTCAATTATAACGAGTGAGGAAGTACGACACTCTAAACTGCTGTAATTTTGTGTTGTTTACCCTGTCAATATAATGACTGAACCTGTTGTACCCGTCTGCATTCAAATCATTAGGCTGCTGAAATGTATCCCTTGTTGCCTTTTTAGGGAATGAATTTTATTGCTGGATACCTCCTCATCATCACCAAAGATGAAGAGAAGTCTTTCTGGTTAATGGATGCTTTACTTGGCAAGATCTTACCAGGTCGGTCACTTTTAGCCACTATTGTATATAACCAGGACTGCATAGGTTAATCATTCTATTAATCAAAATGTAATAAACTGTTCCACAACCTGAAACAACTTTCTGTTTCAGATGACATCATCTAGACCTTGTGGGCGGGGAAAATAATGTTAACCAATAGCCAAATAGCTGTTTAGCCATTGTTTTATGCTAGTGCTGTTGGTAATTTAAACTTAAATCTTGCCATTCGTTAAAGAGATAGTTCCCCACAAAAATGTGTATTCTGTCATCATTTACTCACCCTCATGTCACCAAACCGTTATGGCTTTCCTTCTCCTGGAAGATAAGAACAAAATGTTTGAGAATTAGCTCCATATGTGTCCATATTTGGGAAGTCAATGGTCACCAAAACTATTTGGTTACCAATATCTTGTGTTCCGCAGAAAAAAGAAAGTCATACAGGTTTGAAATAACTTGAGGGGGAGTACATGAAGACAAAATTGTAATTTTTGGGTAAACTATTCTTTTAACACAGCAATTTCATATTTGATAACTGTAATGTTAATGTAATAAATGCTCTGCAAAGTTAATGATAGTTTTGAAGTGCTCAAATCACCCCACCACATACATCTGAATAAGTTATAAATACTCAGAAATTATGAATTCATCATAAATCCATTTTTTATCATGTTCCATATATATGTTTTTTTTTTTTTATCTAGACTATTACACACCAACAATGCTGGGGCTTCAAATGGATCAAGAGGTGCTTGGAGAGCTTGTCAGGATGAAGGTTCCTGCTGTCTGGCAGGTCATGAATAGACACAATGTAATGTGGACCCTGGTGGTCTCACGCTGGTTCATCTGCCTGTATGTTGACATACTTCCTGTAGAGGTGAGGATGAAGTCAAAGGTTGTACTTTGTGAAAAGAATTCAGTGGTAAGCTTTGCAGTCACTGAATTCATACAATTGTAAAATCTTATGATATCACTAGTTGGTTTTATGTAGCATAAGTAGAGTTTGTAATGGCAATATTGAATGTAAAGATGCGTAGCCTTGTGTTTTTCTCAGACAGTGCTGAGAATATGGGACTGCCTGTTTTACGAGGGATCCAAGATCCTGTTCCGAGTGGCTTTGACGCTGATTCGTCACCATCAGAACCTCATCTCACAGGCACAGAGTCTCCCAGAAATCTGCGAACGCTTCAAACAGATCACTCACGGGGAGTACGTAGAGGACTGCCATACATTCATGCAGGTAAATTCTGTGGATGCTGTTTATTCACCAACTAAACTAATACTTACAGACCTCTTTATAATGATGTGTTTGTTCTTAAGTTTGTTTGTTTGTCTTCTCCCTTCAGAAAATCTTTATGGAGCCTGGAGTTCTCTCTACAGCAACAATTACTAAACTCAGGAAGATGTGTAGGAATCACATTACTTCTGCCTAAAACCCTCCTTTACACTAAATGGTGAACATGGACATACAGTTCTGCATTTTCAGCATGTGAGATGAGAATTTATTACTTACTGTGTGGAAAAACTTTATGGTATGTTAAGCTTTTATATGAATATTTTAAACATAATGAAAGGGATACACTACCTTTCAAAAGTTTGGGGTCAGTAAGATTTTTTTTTTGAAAGATGTCTCTTAAGATTACCAAGCCTGCATTTATTTGATCAAAAATACAGCAAAACAGTAACATTGTAAAGTATAATTTACAATTTAAAACAATGTTTTCTATTTATATAGAAAAGTTTAAAGATGTAATTTATTCCTGTGATGGCAAAAGCGGAATTTTTTTCAGCCATTACTCCAGTCTTCGGTGTCACATGAGCCTTTAGAAATCATTCTAATTTGCTGATTTGGTGTTGATTAATATTAATATTTCATGGATACCGTGATAAATATTGTTTGATTAATGGAAAACCAATAAAGCATTTATTATTTGACATTTGATCAATTTAATGTGTCCTTGCTGAATAAAATTATTAATTTTTCAAAAGATTTTACTGACCCCAACCCTTTGAACAGTAGTTCACCCAAAAAATGTTATCATTTACTGGAGGCATGCCATCCCAAACCTGTATGATCTTTCGCCTACTGATATTTACTGGTACCTACCTACTGGTAGATATTTAGAATTTTCATTTTTGAGTGAACAATCTAAGAAGAATTAACTTTTTACTTTTTTTTTTTTTTTTTACTAATAGCAATCAGTTTTGTGTTATAACTAAAGGTTTTAACTAAATAAAGATGTTTAACAAGCAAACTCTTTTTCTTGGCTTTTATTTTTCACTTTATTTAGAAACTTAGAATCGCATTCCCTTAAAACATGAACTTCATAGCAATCAAGGCAACACTTCAATATCCACAACAACTCCATTTATGCAGTCATTCCATATGAAGGTGCATTAGAAAGGAGAGATTCATCCACCATATGATCAAGCGTGTTTTTAGTGCACTCCTTGTGTTTGTAACAGTTAACCATTTACCTGGGCCTATAATAGTCTAAACCTACGTCAAGTTATTCAGAACTTCCTGTTGTGTTAGTGTGAATCACACCCTTTGTCCATCCAGTAGTGCAAAAAACCATAATATATCCTCACTCTAGCAGAATTTCCCTTTTTAACATTTTTGAATGAGTGCAAATACAATGCTAAATGGAAGCAAGCAGGCTATATAGTTTTGATATGTAGTATAAGAGGGAAACAGAGCTATTTAGTGTTATTGAGGGGTATTCTACTCTAGAAAGTGGATATTCTATTTGTATAAGTTAAGAATCTCTTCTGTACCCACTGCCTCAGCAGATCTGGAGAGATCCAGGCTAGATGTGGAATTTATTTTCATTAAAACTTAGTACCAAATTGACATCTGACTCAACACTGTTATGCAAGGCTTTTTTAACAGAATTAAATTAATTATTTTTCTCCAATCTGTTGAATCTCAAAAGCTGTATAGTGTTCAACTCCAAATGAAATCACTTTGAGATCAGGATCAGGAAGTAGTGTTAAATATCTAGTCCCTTTTATACCGAGCAGTAACAGCCTCATTAGTTTTCCCTAAATCCTTGTATTTATATAAATAAACGCATGAGGTTAAATTTAAGAATATGAGGTACCAAACAGATCGTATGCTTTCTAACCCAGATTAAGCCTAAATAACAACAAACACCAGGCATTTCTCTAGATAAGCATAATCTGGTTCCTGGAAACAATAACTTAGCATGACCTAGAGCCTCAAACACACCTTTGATTTTTCCCTGAACCCTTAAGTATGCATTAATTATACTATGTTTAACATAATACAACAAAAAGTCCAGGAAGCGCAGGTCCACCTGAGCGGTGGCAGGGTGAGACACCAGCAGAGGGCAGGGCGGGTTAAAAACTAGGCAGCTGCAGTTGTCATAGTGTTGAGTCCAGATGAGAGCAGAAATCGGTGGTGCCTACACATCCTGGCTTGAAGATTACATGAGGTTAGATGGTCTGGTAGCCCGCATGACTTCTCTTCCTGCCAATAAGGTAGGCCAGGATCACGATGAGCACTAGAACAGCCAATGCAGCACCCACAATAATGGGAATCAACATGTCGTCCTCATCTAGATCACACTCCTCAGCTAGAACAGAGACAGAGCAAGAGGAGAGAAAGGGAGATGGTGGTGAAAAAACTAAAGAAAAATTGGAAAACACAAATCGTATGTATCTGTTTTGTATGTGTAATCGTATGTATGTGTATATGTAAATATGTATGCATGTATGTGTGTGTGTATATATATATATATATATATATATATATATATATATATATATACATACACACACAGTCAAAACAAAATTTATTCAGACACTTTCAACATTTCTCACATTATCAGTTTATTCGCTATAGTTTAGAAAATGGTAATAAAATATGACAAGATCTCAAGAGTTAAACTGACTGAGAACAAATTTGATCTTGATAATGTTAGATAACTTTGATAGAAAGGTATGTAACAAAACATGCTCAGGTCAGTGTCAAATCTCATTTTTGGTCCCAAATTTGGATAAATTTTACTTTTAAAAGTAACTTTCCCCAACACTGGTCAGAACAGTGTTGATAATGTCAGATAACTTTGATAGAAAGGTATATAATGAATTAGGTTGAATAGCTGTCAGCTGTTAAATTTAAGTACACAATTAGATAATACCAATTCAGGTCAACCAATTAACAAGCAATGCTTAATTTTGTTTTGTGGTGTAAAAAGGTCGCATTGGCAATTAAAGAAAAAACACTTAAGCAAAAAATGGTCAGGTCAAAGTGTATGAATAATTTTTGGTCCCAAATTTTGATCAGTTTTACTGGTAGTCCACTGTATGAAGAATATCTTGCATCCACTAGTAAAAAAAAAAAAATAAAATTATATCTGGTGTCTGAATAATTTTTGGTTTGACTGAAATTATTCAGATGGCAGATATAATGTTTTATATATTTCTTTTTTTTTTTACTAGTGGGTGCAGGACACTATAGTTTTTTTTTTTTGCCAAAAGAAATTATAGAAGAAAATATGGCAAAAAATGGCAAAATATAAACATACTTTAGATTTTTTTTTTAAATTAAAATTCTAGTAATATTGTTGCTTGTCATTTTTATTGGATGAACGACACAGTAACCAGATTTGAAGGTTATTGAGTTTATCAGCTTCACATTGTTATGACAACTAAGCATTTTATGCTGCGGATTAATCTTGTGTTGAACCCAGAACATTCCTTGAAGAATTAAAGGACAAAACTAAGAAATATTTAAAGAGAGAAAAGAAAAAAAACCTGCTCCAAAATCTCCATTGACACCAAAAGGCTGCACTTGAAGCTGGAAAGTGTTGAGAGAGAAATCCTGTGTAACGCTCAAGGTCTTCTCCTTCTGACACATGTAAGAGTGGCCCAGGGTTCCCACCATGTAGTTCAGAGTGGTGTTCCTGAAAACAAGGCGCTCTGAGCAAAAAAATAAAACATTATAGAATTTGCTGATTTTAAAAACTAAAACTATTAAACATGGAATATTTAATACTGACTTACTAGCCATATCAGGCAATGCAGCTGACAACTCCAACCCACTAAGATGATACTTGTTTGATGTGGAATTCTGAAAAGGAAACAAGCATATTTCAAATGATATGATAATACCAACATGGCCTGAATAATTTAAGAGGGCATTAGTGTAAATAATTGGAGGAGATGCGAAACTTACCAAAGAAAAGCTGAAAGTCAGAGTAATGTTGTCCTCAGTGAGTATGAGAGTTGCACTGTCCGGATCGCAGGATCCAGAGAATTTAACCAGGTTTGGATGCAGGTTCAAGACCTCCTGGACAGTCTGGAAAGAAAGGTATGTTTACATTTAGATTACATTTACAAATGAGGACTAAACCTTCATTACTCTGAATTATAATCATAAAATAGTCATACAAATCCCAGCAAATCCCTTTATTTACATGACAACCCAAGGAATTTTAATAATGGCAAAATAAATGGTATTTGTCATAGAAATGAAGCATACAGGTCCTTTTTCTATGTGTCATCTCAGGTGCACAACAAGCTAAGAATGGAAAATTAAACTGTCAATTAAAAAAGTTTGTTTGTTTACCCACTGAACAGAAAAATAGATATTTAGCAGAATGTTTCAAGCTACTCCTATCCAATGAAAGTGAAAGCTGCATGTGCAAGTACTTTGCCATGAGAGCTCGAAATAAAGCTAATGTTGAGTTGCAGTCCCATCCGTGCCAAGAGACAGACAGCATCAGTGGCATTGGTGACATTGTAGCTGCCTCGCTCGGGGGGTCCAGGGGTTGCAGGAGAAGCTGGAGGAGAGCTGGTTTCAGGGGCGACCACAGTAGGAGGAACATCAGCAGTCAAAGTCTGATGTATAGTGAGAGCTGGAACGGTAATGTCATTATTTTTAAAAGGCTCAAGATGAGTTGTAGCACTGGTTAGATTTAAAGTTGCACTAAGTAAATTTTTGCTACACTATGCTTATTCATTCCAATAGCAAACGTAATTTTAGACTATATACTGACAGCTATTGGCATGAATGCATTGCATTAGTTTACTAAATGCTGCTGCTTCACCAAGCCAGTTTATATTTTTTGTTATTATCATAATTATTAGATGAAGCAAACTGTACAACAGGCTGTTCAGTTAATGGCAATATGGTGGCACCCATGAGGGGGCAACCCCTTAGGTGTCCACAGTACAGTTTCTTTTTTATATATAGCTACTGAGCCTTACTAAAAGTACATAATCATCTAATTTCTTAATTTTATAAACGTTTAAAATGTATAAACTGGTATTCAAAATAGAGCATGGATATGGTAGTTTTATAAGTCATATCTGTAAATATGCAAAAATATTTCCCTCCAAATGAGAAATACTCAGCTTTTCTTACACAGCAGACATAACGTTGGCCACGGTTTTGCAGGAATAAACATTATTATTTAAAAAAGACATAAGAAAGAAACATTAAATTAAGAAAGAAAAACTGTACAGTTAGCGTCCCCATTAATATATGGACTGGACCGTTTCGTATTATTAATTAATTAACCAAAATATAACCAGACCAAATAGTCCCGCAGCCCAAAATACACAATATTTAAATCAAACTTACCCAACAGCAGGCTAAAAATTGTCCCGGAGGGCATGTTTTGTTTGCGGATGACGGGGATCATGTTTCTTGCCAAAGTCAATCAAAACACACTCGATAGAAAAACAGATGATGGCAGACTGTGCAATATGCGCCTTCAAACGGACTCTTCAGATAACTGTTGTTATGGTGCAGACGTATACGACCGCTTTGAACTGCCGCTGTGCCAAATCTACATCTGATAAACGCACTAGGTCAGATTTGTTTAGTTTCTCGTAACCGCAGCAGAAACACTAGCGTCATGTGAGCGACTGCTAGCATCACGCAGCAGCAGCAATGCGCACGCGCAACCTATTCTTGTTTTTGTTTTAAATGCATTTTTGTTGTTGTTTTAGAACAGATAGAACACAATGTACCATGGAGTGCTGCTATCCATATCGATAATAAATTAAATAATAATAATAATAAATTATTCAGGATGTATCACATTTCAGAAATTAACATTTCTGTAAGCGTTGTGATAAATTATTAGTTCCTGGATAGTCAGTGAATCATAAAATAATTCAAATAATCGTAAAAATACACATCCATGCATAACATTTCCTGTAGTGTAGTATTTCATCGTGTGGTTGGATAACTATAACGGGCCACAGAAGCAACTGCGTCCGTGCGTGCGTGTGTGTGCATTTTGATTAGTCGTGTTTAATATTTTGACAGTTATAAACAAGTAAGTTATTGCCTATATTGTATGTTCCCTGTCGTTAAGCGGTACTTAAAGAATGGTGAAATATCGTGAAAATGTAGGCTAGATAGATAGATTTAAAAGTAGCTACACATAAGTGATCTAAAATAAGTGATGTAAAGAGCAATGGAATGAGGATACATGTGACTTAAGATACTCCTAAGTGTCACATCACAGAGACAATTTACAAGGAGGCGAAAGATTTTAGGACCATTCCGCAATGCCATCACAGAAGTGTGATACCTGACCTGTTACCCTTTTATGTTGCTTGCAGTGGTTTATTTAAAGAGCCATAATGATCTTATGAAACGTATCTAACACTTGCAGCAATTATAAGGGAGACTGGAGCTAGTGTTCAAACTTTTTACTCCAGTGAATATTTCTCAAGGTAGATTTATAATGAAAAATCAGTTTCTGCACAGACAAGTGATAGAGACTTTAAATACTTTAAAGCTATTGAACATTTCCAACATTATTACCCAGGAAAAAAGATACAGCAAATCACGTAGAATGTTGTCACTATATGAAGCCACAGTGGAACATGCCTTACAAATTAACAAAAAAAAAACAATTATGTACCGTAAATATTGTAATTAATAATTATAGATAAATAAAAATACAAAATAAAGATCTGACATTTATGAAATGAGAAAGTATTTCAAACTTTTGTTTAAAATCTGCCATTATATAGTTGACCCCCAGCTAACAAAAATATGTTCTAAGAATGTTTTGCTAAAGTTCTCATTATAAGAACGTTGTTTCTGGATTTTCTTTGAAAATTCAAAATGTCTAGTTATGTCTAGTAATTTTTTTAAAAACCTTTTCTTCATGGTTATGCAAATATTAAAGGAACATTCCATTAGATGATTCTGCAAACAGGGACGCTACTTTTATATGGTCTCTACACATTCTGAAACACATAATAACATTTAAAAAAGGTGAGATGAACATCCAAAGAAAACAGTTCAGAAAACAAATGCTATGAACAATGAATAAATAATGTTTTTGTGCTAACATTTTGAAAACATTATCAAAGACCACATGACTTCAAATGAAAGTTCTTTTAATGTTACTTTAAGAATGTTTGTTCATAACTTTGAGGGAACTTTGCCAAAATGTTGGACAAAGTTGTGGGAATGTTCTCTGTTAGCTGGGCCCAAAGAAACATTATTCTAATTTAAGCTAGTCTTTAGTACTAGTGTTTAAAAAAAAAATACAAAACCACACCAATGGCAATTGCAAAACAGCAGGGGGCACAACATGTACAAACTAGCTTGTGAAATGTAAGTTGCAAAATATTTTCAATTAAAAAGTAGAAGAAGAAAAAACACTGATTAATTTTTTTTATAAGAGTTACAGGTGAAGTTTTTGATCTCTGTTTTGAAGATGTTGCCTGATTTTATGTTTTCCTTAACTGTTAGAACTAATATTTCTATTGTGTATGATTTCCTGCAGGGGAAAAATAAGTTTGATTCAGATTTGTTATGAATACATCAACCCAACGCTGCTAAAATGGAAAAATCAAACTCAGCAGACAGTGTAACTTTCGTAACCTGCAATACTGATGAAAGACACATAACGTAGCGTGAAGATGGTCTAAAAATATACAGGAAATGCTGGTGAGACTTTTTTGAGATGAGAGGACAAGAGACTCTTTGGTGGAGGCAGAGGTTGTCATTCACTAGAACAGAAAACCCAGGGCAAGGGCCACTTCCTGTTAGGTAAAAGACTGACACAGTAGAAGCAATCAAAACAGAAAGGCTAAAAACTGTTGCACATCACTTACAGGCCAAGCAACAGGAAGGTACGGCATCCAAAGAAACTGTCGTTTCAAGGAATGTAATGGAAATGAGCAGGACAATCACTCTTTTGTTCTTGGCCTCACATGTGTCCTCCACAGGTAAAATCATTTCTCTTGCTCTCTACATACGCATTGCATAAGGTGCCATACATCTACATACATCTAGCTCATTCAGCGCAGAGCTTTGATGGTTTACTATATGGGTTGTGAAATCTGTATTTGTCGCTGGAGTGAATGTTAAGAAATTGAATATTAGAATTATTTTGTGTGTTTTCTCCTGTAAAGAACATTGAGGTCAAACATCAGGACATCTTCATGTGGCCATTTTAGTTTCCCTGTACACTCAGCAAGACTTGTAGCATAAAATGTAACAGCTGTGACGACTGTGCAGTACACTATTGTGTTTGCAACATAATGTATGAAAAGATACATTATGGTTTTCACGTTACGTTAAGGTTCACGATACGTTAAGGTTTTCAGCATTACTATGATGGTTTGTAACTGTCATCTTCATTCTTAAATGTTGCTTCCTGAGATTCAAAAAGAAGGATCCAAGCAAAGCAACCCTGACTCTCTGAAACCCACACTCTCCTTTTATGAAACTCAAGGTCAAAATTGTCAGGATCAGCAAATGGCAGCTTTTCAAAAGTCAACAACATTATTGGCCGCTTAGACACACCTATTGTAGGATACTTTGTTTATTATTTTTATTTACCTAATTTAATTTATTATATATTTTTTATTATTATCATTAATAATATTATTTGATTTAAGTGGTTGTTGTAAGCGTTATTTAAAAAGTTATAGTAAAACAAATACAGCAACAAATCATGGTGAAGGTGATTATATACTCAGTATAAATACTTAGGTAATTTAAATAATTATTTTTGATTATGGAATAATTGTTTTGATATCTGTTTGCCAGGTAAATTCAATGGGTGCAAAAGTTTTAGTACAACAAGCAAATTCAACCACAGAGTTGATTCAGTACAAAAGCTGAAAGCAAAAGGTTTTTTTAGGAAAACAATAGTATTAGTTCAAGGAATGTTTGTTTGTTGAGCAAAGTAATATTTTAGAAACATGCCTGAACTTTACAAGAGCATTTGTACAAATACACAAAAAGTTTGTGTTGTAAATTAATAACAAAACATGCCAAAAAGACAACAAACAAATTTTTTGATATCTATTAAATATGTCTGTGTTTGCTGCCACACCGTAATTGGAGGAATTTATGTGCAAGTTTGAGACAACAGTGAGAAAAATAGATAACTGGCAGCATAGCCCTTTTACATATACATTTTGAATGTACAATGATTTTAGCCCAAATTCAAATACACACACTAGATATTTCTGACATTTGGAACAAACTGCAAAATCATTGAATCTGTTGTATATGATAATGCTATCTTAGCAGTCAATGTGGCCTCATTAAAAAAAAATATATATATTTCTAATTTTCTTAATTCATTGTGATTCTGTGTTGCTGTCATATATTAAATAGAATCACACTAGGTAAACAACTTAATTTTAGTATTAATAGCTTCTTCAAGGTAATTAGGGGCCTAAAATAATAAAACCTACAACCTTTTTGTCATCACTGACGATTTTAAATTTGCAATGAATCTGAATCTTACATTTGTAATGAATCATTCTTTTATATTAAGCAAACTAAATTCAGATAAGTAATGCATTAGTGATAAATGTAAACTTTAATAAATATAAACTTCACTTTAATACAGTACCAGTACATTGTTTTGTTTTGTTTTTTGAGTGTATAAAGATTTTTATTTGTCTAGCCTTATATACTGTACATTGTCCTTGTTTCTGTATGCAATGATCTTGCAGAAGAAAAGTGCTTTTTACTCCTATGGCATGTGAAAGGTGTGTGGTCAGTTTGCTAACCTTCATCCACCAGCCCCCATAAACACCTACTTGATCTGCAGTGATGCAATGGGGGCTTCACTGTTTTGTGCTCATTCTTGCACTTAACTAGACCCATGCAGAGAAACTAATAATATTATTTGATTTAAGTGGTTGTTGTAAGCGTTATTTAAAAAGTTATAGTAAAACAAATACAGCAACAAATCATGGTGAAGGTGATTATATACTCAGTATAAATACTTAGGTAATTTAAATAATTATTTTTGATTATGGAATAATTGTTTTGATATCTGTTTGCCAGGTAAATTCAATGGGTGCAAAAGTTTTAGTACAACAAGCAAATTCAACCACAGAGTTGATTCAGTACAAAAGCTGAAAGCAAAAGGTTTTTTTAGGAAAACAATAGTATTAGTTCAAGGAATGTTTGTTTGTTGAGCAAAGTAATATTTTAGAAACATGCCTGAACTTTACAAGAGCATTTGTACAAATACACAAAAAGTTTGTGTTGTAAATTAATAACAAAACATGCCAAAAAGACAACAAACAAATTTTTTGATATCTATTAAATATGTCTGTGTTTGCTGCCACACCGTAATTGGAGGAATTTATGTGCAAGTTTGAGACAACAGTGAGAAAAATAGATAACTGGCAGCATAGCCCTTTTACATATACATTTTGAATGTACAATGATTTTAGCCCAAATTCAAATACACACACTAGATATTTCTGACATTTGGAACAAACTGCAAAATCATTGAATCTGTTGTATATGATAATGCTATCTTAGCAGTCAATGTGGCCTCATTAAAAAAAAATATATATATTTCTAATTTTCTTAATTCATTGTGATTCTGTGTTGCTGTCATATATTAAATAGAATCACACTAGGTAAACAACTTAA